TTCCGTTCGCTTTCACAAACTTTAGTTGAGCACAAAAAAGGCGTCGTCGGTTTTGATCATGTTCCAAAAAAAAAACTCATTCCAAACGAAATCTTTTCGTAATTTGTTGATGCAGTTCGATTTTTACACATATCATTTTTGGCGTATTCGTTACTGCAGCATTTATGCAAATGGATGCATTTTATTTCGTGTTTTCACATCATTCGAACGCTGAGATATTTTCTCGCATTTTTGGGTGGAGTTGCAAATTGATTTTTATCGGTTTCCGATGATTTTTCTAATCATGTGCCATCATCATTTATCATTTTCGGAATTTTGAATTTTTGTCGCATTTCAAGCGCTCGCTTTCGACTCTGGACAATTTACGGAATTTCATTCGATTCAGCATGTTGTCAATAAAACATCTCATTTCGCTGTTCGTTTAATTTATTTGTGGTTTTGGTATGACATCTGCTTGTGCAGTAAATTCCATGAATCGTTTGCTTTATTTCGTTTTGGCTTCTTTTTTGACATTGATCGTGCGTCTGATTTCGGTGACTATGCACTGCAGTTCCAACATAAAGTCATTGTTGTCTTTTTTCCGCTCAGCAATTTGTGCAAGGAAAATATTGGCAACATGTTATTGTTATCATATGGACGTGATAAATTATTTTTGTTGTTGTTTACTGCTGCTGTTTTTTGGAGGCATCTCGTCGATGATTTATCGCTTTGGTACAGTAAAAATGGCAAAGATGTTTGAATATAGCGCCAATAACGGTAGTTTACGGCAGAAAATTGATTTATACCAAGATTATCGTCTATATGGTCAATACTAAAGCGACCACATTCCATGGTAACATCGATTGATTGTGTAAACAACAGAATAGTTCAATCGAACAACACAAATTAATTGCGGTCACATCGTGTATTCTATGAGAACAAAATGATAAGACGCTGATGTACGCTGATGTATATATTGAGTGATATAAGCAGGAGAATGAGATACGCAATTAATGCAGGATGACATGTCACATGGCAACCCATGAGGAATTCAATACTTCGAGCTGACCAACTGTTTCCAATACAAATTAGAGACCTCTAAGGATGAGGAGGGATAGCGAGAAGGAAAATGTGTGTGAGTAGTGAGGAGGGGAGAAGAAGACTGAAGATGGTCCTTCTCAATTGGGAACGAAAAGTTTTTTTTTTCTTCCATTTCTGTCACAAATTTTTTTTGGTTAAAAATATTTTCCTCCTTAATTGAGGAAGACCCTCCTAACTGCTCTTCATTTTCCTCCTTAGGCGAAACTCAGAGGACAGTCTCTGAATACAAACATTTTCTTTTCAACAAAAACATTTGATTTAACATTTTCTTGTTGATAATTAAAACAAAAGTGTGCACGTTAACATGTACAAATGATCATTTCTATATCGAATAATAGCATCGGTTGCAAGATTTTCAAAACTAACGATCATCCATTTTTCCATTTGTACTATTATGAAAACCAATTATTTCGTTTCACATAAGCAATTACTCAAAATATATCGTTGTTTGTGAATTGCGTGCGTGAAAGACGGCAGAAAACTGTCGTAGTGGAATAAATAATACCATTTCCTCAATGAATGGCGACAGATTTTTCATTGAAATAAAAGATCCGCTAGTTCATTTCCATTTGTAATATCTCTTCGTTCGTTTTACATTTTTTCGCTGTCAATTTCATTAAATTGTTACAATGAAGCAAATGCTAGAAAAGTCCTTTTGGCAAAAACGTGTCTATTTTTCCATTTTTTTAAATTTTAAATAGCCCGAAGCGTGTGTGTTTGTGCTGCAAAACAAGTCGAAACTGTATCGATGAATCTGACGAACGACAAGCTGTCTTTCACTAATAACTCATACCTAATGGTTTATTTCAACACACGGCAAAAATTTATTCATCTGTTTCAAGTCATTTCTTAAGTCTTTCTTCGGTGTGTGTATGTTTTTCTCCATTTCTACGCTCGTCACTTTTCATGTTTTGAAAACCGACAACTTCACTACTAGCACTTTAGCTAGAACCAAAACAGAACAACCGTTCAGTTATTTTTATACCATAAATAATTCATTTCGGCTTAAGTTTTGTGTTTGTAAACGATTTTATTTTGCTATGTGTGGTGTTTTTTTTTCTGCTGTTGTTGTTTTTCGCGCATAGTGTTCTTTTGCGATGCACTTTTTTCTCTTCCACACCATTTACGTAGAAAATCGTGCAAATAAGTATTGCTACAAAACAAATATAGAAAATTGCAGCGAGATCAAGTTTGTATCGGATGAACATTTTTGTTGTTCTTGCTCAAGGTCTTGTGTGCGCATCTTTGTGCAATTTGAACATGCTGTTATTTCATTGTCTTGCATTATGTTGTGTGTACGATGTTGTGAAAAGTGTATGGCATGTTCTCGTCACATTCTCGTTTCCATCCATTTTATTTTGTGAAATGCAATATACTTGTGATGCAGAGAAATGTAATTGCGCACATGTTTCATCGCGGTACATTGCACGCACTCCCTCTTTCCTCCGAAATTGTCCGCTTGGATTTCGAGCGGGAGTGCACTTTTTTTTGTTCTATCGGAAAACCAATACACGATATGGAATTCATAAAACGTACGCATAAATGTCGACTCGTTTCATACAAGTCGCCCCAAAAATGGCGAAACATTGTGATTTATCTTCAGTTATGATTGTAAATTCCGACAACTCGAAATGCGCGCTCCGCCATTCGTCTGATACAATAGGTTGCATTGATTCTCTTTTTTGCATTTCGTTAAATGGAACTTCCAAGTTCGATGACATTATTATTCGATATCTTAAAAATTGCCATAGTTTCGACGAGTTTTACTATTACAATTTAAACAATGCACAAAGTTCTGCGAAACTTTTACTTCTTTTTATTTTGTTTTGGTTTTTTTCCTTTGGACGGAACAAGTTTTGCCATCAAAACGGTGAAGATATAACTTTTCGCGAATTCCGGAGTCATCGCGCCACACTTTTTGTTCTTCGGCTGTTTTAAAAATAAATTTCCGTTGTGGCAGTTTGAATGTTTGTTTTGGTCGCGTACATTTTCGTTGGAAATGATCCAAATCGACTAATTGATATATGCGAACATTTTTAGTGCATGGAAACGTATATATATGAAATAATGTGCGGTATTTCGTTTGCTATTCTCATTGGATCGGTTTTTTTCTGTTGTTTCGGTGAAAATGGTGTTGGGAGAATATCACTTGAACCCGCTTAGATTAACGAAGTGCAATGAGAGATATTTTGCATATGAACGCTCACTTTATAATGTGCGGGTGAAGAGTGCATAATTTCAAGTGCTGGAACTCTGTTGCATATATTAGTATGTAGTTAATATGAAAAAAAAAAAAAATACAACAAAACGATAGAAATAACGTTGAACGGATGAATTTGATGAATCACACAAGCGCATACTACAAATGAGGCGAATGCAAGCCACAACTTTTTTTCTTGTCAATATTTTGTATTTCGATAAACAGCCGTTTTTTTGTGTGTGTGCAATCCATGCCATTGGATTTTGGATCAAATTTATGTACATTGAAAACATACAAGTTGCCGAGAAATTTATTTACACACAAATTATGATCTAATTGAAACTACAGAATCTCTTTTTTTGTCGTTCTCATGCGATCGACGTATGTGTTTGTGTCAAAGGAGACAGAGAGCATTGTAACCACGATATCAAATGAAAATCGATGCCGCTACAAACGGCAACAACGTAAACTATCTCCGCTAGTAAAAAGCGCTTTTTGTAAAACTTCATTGCACTCATTGCGTTCATTCATGCATATCATTAAATTATGTGTCACAAACGCGACTGGCATGCAAATGAGAAAAAAGTGCAGTGAGAAAAAAACACACTCCAGACAAAACAGCGCATGCTATGAGTTATACATATATTCCGTGCAATTCCATTACACGATTATTTATCGATTCCATTAAAACTTCGAGATCAAAATCAAGCGGTCGCGCGCTCATAGACTGTCTTCTCATTGACGTTCGGCGGTTTGGATAAAAAGCCATCACACTATCGCAAAACAGCGGTCTCGTATCTCATATCTCGCTTTTTGTAACAATTAAACTTGAACTGATGAAATGTAACGTTTGTACGAGCAAATTGTTGCTTCATTTAATTTTTGTCTCACGCGATTTCAGTCACTATTCATATCGAATTACGAATATTTATCGATTCAGCGATTTTTTTCTCTTCTCAGCGCTACCATTCGCGAATGTAACAAGACGTGGACACAAGTAGCGCCACTTCAATTGGAGAGACAACGGCCAGAAAATATTTGAATTATGCGTCAAATGTTCACATATTGTGAACCAACGCAAAAATACCGTATTCTAACCGACATTATGAAAATCAGTTTTTTGTTACAAATCAAATAACAAAAACAGTCGAGTACAAAACTCAAATCATTGAATTCCATCGAATTCGCAGCCTGAACAATTTTGCATTCAAAAATGATACAAACCGTTTAAATACGTATTTACTGCAATATAGTAGTATTTTGAACGGTATTTGACGCTAGTTTGTGCAACGAGTGTGGGCGCAAAAAATATGTAATTTATCGCGAAAAATGGTTTTAAACAACGCACATACACTCCAGTTGCACCAAAATGACGTATAACAGTGCAACTGTTTTCAAATGGATTTTTGTATATTTTATAAGATTTATTTAAATGTATGCCAAATCTATATGGAAAATTTTCGAATGTCATGCATGACTACGATATGAAATTATTTTTCGCTATATTTCATATGTCATGCGATATTCGAGCACTCTTATTCATCACAATTGCGTATTATATCGTGATGATTCGTTAATTTATAAAATATTTTCATGAAAATGTAGAAATTTGGTAGCTTTGTGTGTAAGATATTCGAATGAGTACACCGAAGCTGTTTGACAAAAAAAATGGAATTATTTTAACTTTTAATTATTCATTTTAGAACGTTTGCGCATTAGAAAACAGTTGCCAGCACAGCAATTAAAACGTTGACAACGAGATTATTTCAGCAGACGACCGTGAACTATAAAAGCAGACTACTCGTAGCATTTCACTCTGTAGAATCAATTTGTCACTCGCGCGCATTTTTATATTACTAATCCGTAAAAAATGAATTCGTTCACATCCTTGGGATTATTCTTGGTTGTTTTAGCCGCTTGCTTTATTAGGTATTCGAGATTTTAACTATATTTTGCTATAAATAGTTATGTAATAATAAAAAAATAAGTTAATAGCGACCGAAATCTTCTTTTTTTTAGCGTAAATGCAAAGGCAGAAGAACTAATAAAGGGGTATGTATTTCGATATTTAATAGAGTGGACAATGTGAAATAACATAGTTAAATTCGAATTTTATTTTACATATTCGAAAATTAAAATATATAGCCAAGTTAAGCCTCTTACGGCTGACGAAAAGAAATACATCAAAGGAATTGTCGATTTGTAAGTAAACCCGTCATTTGTTAAAAAGGCGAACAAAATCAAAATTTTCGAATTTCATCGTAGCCTCGCCAAAGAGAAGGGCAAGCCTCTACCTGATTTCAGCAAGTAAATTAGTTTTTATCATTTTTTTGTGAATTTTACGTCTAATTTCACCTTATCCCACAGAAAAGATGATTTTAACCGAAGAGTCGCGTAAGTTCAAACACTTTACTTAAGTCGATGTGTTGATCGCAAATATTTGCGCATGTTTTTGTTTCAGTTTTTACGAAGAGGTGCTACTCATGATGGCAGCAGAAAAAGCAGATCCACAAATGTAAATAAAACGTGAATTCAAATGTTGCCTGCCAATTACGACGATTTTTTCTTTTAATTTTAGGCAAAGTTTGGCTGGATTGGCCGAATTTCAGGGGTAAAAATCGATATATTATTACTTTTATTATCATTGTATTATTCACATCTTTTCAAATGAAGTTAATGAATGAAATTAAATTGAATCTTTAGTATGGCCGAGCAGTTACTCAATAGTCCAGTCACTGAACTTCCAAGCGCTGAAAATTTGAAGGAGTAAGTTTTTAAGTTTTTTTTCCTAATTTCCAATTACTTGAACTCTTGTCATTGTCATTAAAAATTGTTTTCAGGTTTCCAAATAATTTCAAATTCATCAAGGCGGCTATGGGGTAAACAGTCATTATTTTGTTTTTGTTTTTGTTTTCACAAAACTTAAAGAATTCGGCAAAATTCCATATTGAACATTTGTTTTTCAGTCATGATCTGGGCGAAGATGATAAATTCGTATCGATGACAAAGATAATGTAAGTACATATACACAGAGACACCGAAATTTAAAATTTATAATTTATATTTTATTCGATTTGTTGTTTTGTAGGGTTAAGGATATAAATGTGACGTAAGTGATGCGCATGAGAGTTATTAAAATATGCAAAAAATATTGAATGTTCATTCATTTTAAAAAGGAAAAAGCATCTTAAAGACTATCCATCCGGAGTGTTTGCAATTCATATGGTTACTGTCTTGACTAAGACATTGAATCAGATCAAAACAGTTGCCAGTGAAGATGAAGCTGAACTGCAGTAAAAAATTTGATTTGACCATTTTTTTTGTTCAATATATTCCAAATTTTTGCAAAAAAAAAAATTTAATTAAAAATATTTGGATACATTCTTTTGCATTATATATTCATTTAAATTCTGATGAGCGAAAAAAATGGCGTCCATTGCTTTTATTTAATCATAATAAATGTCCGCATACATTGTGTATATAAGACAAATAAATGAATTCGGAGTGAAAACAAGCCGATCGTGACGAAGGCAATTCTTGAAAATTAATCTTGTCTAATTTAGAGCTCTCACTCTGATGGAACAGATTCGTTTTTATCGCTGCGTCATCTGTAGAATCTTCCAATGTTTTTGACATGGTTGCAAACGACGTGGATGATTTAATTTCGTACTTATAACAAGTTCTTTAGGTTTTTTTTCTCCTTCATTTCACCGTTCACAACAGTATGTTGTAATATTACATTAAAGTATACAATCATCAAGTTAAGCATCATTTCAACGTTCTAACGAGTGAAGAGACTGATGCGAATGGGCGAATAAAATAAAAGGGAAAACGCCATCAATTGCGTATATAAAACTGTTATTATTAATAAAACGGTTATTACAGTTTGTTGATTTTATGTACAGCAGCATCGTCGTTTTAAACGACACAATCGAGCGACCACTTACTGTGTGTATGTCTATATGCAATCATCGCATCCAATACACAGATGTCTCAAAACAATATTCATTAAATTTTGCCGATATTCTCGTCCAGATAAAATGTTCACGAACGTCTGGACACAAATACACGCATTGCACACAAACAATGTACACAAACAATGCGAACATTCGCATGATTAATCAAATTATCATGGAAAAGATTAATGACCGAAAGACACTCAATTTGATGAAAAAAGTAAGATTTTAAGAATATTCAAGCCGGACGAAAAATCAGCGCCATAATCTTTTTCTCTTTTGACCAGTTTTTTTTGGATTTAGCCAGAATTCTTTATTTAAGAGACGAGATTTCAATGTAAAAAACCAAAAGAACCAAAGGATATTAAAACGAATCACTTGTTCCTTCTTTACCTGTCAAAAAATTGAACATTTGTAACAAAACATGAAAAAAGGAACATTTTATGACACGTTTTTTTATTTGACTAAAAATTGTCGGATTTGCTCATCCAAACAAATAAAAAACACCGAATTCTTCAGGAAGGAAATCATAAATCATCAGCCAGATACTTCCGATTATGACCGGATACTCATTCTAGTCTTTGTGCCTTTTTCTTCCGATCGATTTCGGATGTTGAATGGAGTATTTGTATCAATACAATGGATCAATTCTCCATTCAGAATGACAAGACTTTGTTTACATGGGAATTCTACAAACAATGTTCACTGTGTGTATTGGCAAAGTTTTAGCCTGAGAACGATGATCATATCAAACGTTGTAATTAATTGGTTTCATTGAATCGATGCTCTAATTCGATTAGGTTATGTTTGAATGAATAAACCATTTCAATTCATGTTAGCTCAGAATAAAGAACTCTGCAATAGCATTTGAGATCAAATTCAAGAGATTATTTTAAATTTATGCAAATCGTCGTTGTAGTCAATGGTTCGACATCCAAATTCGTAGGTGAATATCTTGTTTTGTGTAAATCATTTGAGTGACGTGTATTTGCGCGCGTGTACCCACGATCTCATCTTAATGAAGTCATTACTAGATATTATTATTCACAATCGACAAATTGGCATTGCAAATGATTACACACCACTCAATAGAGCTCATAGTTCAATTGATTTTAAACTTAAGCGAAGCGACCAAATGGTTATTCTAAAAATTAAGCGGTTAACTTCGAAGTCATTTGTGTCGGACGCTAATACAATTGAAGATTGCACGCCATACGGTGAATAATGAAACTCAACATGGTAAATAAAGACGTACAGTATACGACGTAAGTGTGGTGTCGATACACGGAACTGGGAGCGCATTGTGTTGAATTTTTCTTGAAACCGAAGTCACAGTTCAGTAAATTTCTAAGCAAAATCTATCGAAGCAGAACGAATGACAGCTATTATGCTTTGTTTTTATCTGTTTTCTAAAAAAAACTAGACATGGGTGTCGTTCTATTGGTTTATAGCCCAACAAAGCAAGCAAAAGTTGAACATACTTATCTAATTGTTTAGTTTTCTCTTCTATCTTGGTACTTTCTTTCGTTGCATACCGTGTAAATTACTGCGTTCTAATTCCAAATGCAATACATTTTTATGTACGTATGTGTGTGCGTACGTTTGCGTATGCGTCAATGCGGATTCTGACTAGAGAACTTACCAGATAGACGATGAAATGACAAACATATTTGTTTTTCTACATACACTTTGTTCGTTTTGCAATGTAATTCCATTTTCATATGTGTCTTTAGTATCACCCGTCGACGCTTTTCTTCTGCGTCTTCATTTATCTTATTTATTTATTCTGTGCATAATGTTTTTTATTCATTCTCCAGACTTTCCCTTTAAAGAATTTCACCGAAATAAAAAAAAAACAAGCACACATTTCATTCCGTTTCGATGACGGTGTTGAAGCGTAGTCAGCGCGCGAAACGTATCTTATTATTGTACACAGTAACCTTTTGTAAATGCTTTGGTGATCGTTGAACATTTCACAAACGGTGACTTTATTTCCAAGTTTGAATCATTTCTCTTCTCGGTACCTTGGGAACATGCTCATCGTACGACATGCATTTTAAATTGCACCAAAACAATCGAACAACTGTCTCTCATCACCAATCTCATAAACTACGCGCTTTACATTCGCCTTGTTTCGTTCACATTATTGCTCTCTCTCTCTCTCCGGGTGCTGAATGTTGTTTGTACGATTTTTGTGCGCTTGTTTTGCATCGCAATCAAATTTAATTATCCTTTCGTGGCAAATTCATGCAATGGAGAACGAAAAAAAAAAGCAAACCATGGTGAAATAACCAAATTACACATGACACATTGCACACGAAGAACGCCGAAGGTGATACACAGCGCTCTCATTGTATAGTTAGACGAAACATTACGACGATCGACGACGACAACAAATGAATGTAAATGTTAGTTTTAGCCGTGTTCAATCAACATCGACATTTCATCATGCAGGGAACATTCTTCGACACACCGTACACCTTTCTTGACTCTCTCTCTTTGCCGAAAGAAATTCTTCACACATTTTCTCTTTACTTCGTTTTTTGTGTGTTTCGGCTCAACGGCGAACGTACTGAATTTATGTTACAACATGATGAACTTGAGTGATTTTATATTAAACTTTATAACAAACACGAAAAAAAACTCAAATTCTTAAACGAGAGAACAGATAGCGGCAATAAACAAGTTTTGGTAATTTTCAACTCCGTTATTTCTTCAATGTGCTAAAATGTTTTCACACACTGGGAAAAACGCATTTACACCGTTTTTCTCTTGCATTCGAACTGAAGAGAATGAAAAGCAAATGTCAATAAATGCATTGGATTCTCAATCAAGTCTTCAAGCAATTCACTCTGAAATGATAATCATAATAATTTTCGTTGTTTGAAATTACAAAAAAAAACACACTTATAAAACAGAGGCAATAGAGAACTAATTTCAACACTAAAATGCAGTTTCTATGAAGAAACTTAAGAACTGAAAAACCACGATTTTTATTCCAAATAGCAAAATAATCGGAATTAGACCTCGAATTGACCTCAATTTATCGCGCGCCATGACTAGCGAATCGCAAAGCTTCATTGATGACGATGATGATAATCATTTTTACAATCGAACCAGATTATTATCTAGTCTATTTTGCTCGCTGTATCAATTTCAAATTCGAACCCGATGGGCATTGAAGAAAATGCCTGCAATGAGATACTTTTTAAAACTAACAATCGCATACATTGTATGGACTGCTTAAGCTATTTAAACGATTTAATTTTATGAATTCCGGTGAGAAATTATATAAGAGTAATCCTAAGAGGGTTTGGCCTCGGTGACCAATGGTGTTTCAAGTTGGAGGTCTGCTCGTGGAAATAGTTTTTTTTTTTTTTTTTTCAAATTTTTGGCAGTAATTTTTCAACAACAAACAGTTTTCGTTTGCTCCCTTAAATTCTTGTCAAAATATACCATATTCATTTACTTATTATTTACTGCATGTATATATCAAAAAGTATGAAACAAAGTCGGATAACGTCATCCCCCAATTTATACTCCCCAAAAATCAATTCATAAAAATCGGAAAGGAGGTCATGCGTTGAATATCTTTGTGATATTTGTACATTGCTTCAAATTAATAATAATAAATATCGCGCTGAATCTTAAAAAATCTGCTTGAGTCAGTCTGTCTCTCGATTGGAGCGAATCACAAAAAAAACTCGATGGATCCATTTATTTCATGGTTTTCGTATGAAAATTTAACTGCGTTTTTATGTTATTGGTATAGGTTAACGCGCCTGTTAAGAGTAACTACACTATGGAAGTAGAGAATGGAAGTGAGTCTGGGTGGCGCCAGTACATTTTTTGTTCTGCACGACCCTCAAAAACGTACCGAGTGGTTTTTAGTCACAGTTAGAAAAGTTGGCAACATACATATCAAGGCACTTGGCGCGCACAGAGAATACATAAAAGCGCCGCATAAGCAATGGTCCATGATCTATTTCTGTTGTTATGATTGCGGACATTTTGCTTATATAAAGGCATTTCCTTTTGTTTGACAGTTTTTTTGGGTTAAATTGAGAGATAAAGTCCCAAAACGAAGTTGAGGTTCTAAAACAGCAATTTGTCAACAATGTTCTGTTGTGAACTTGAGGGAAAATGGTGTTTTCGTGTCATTTTTGCCTTAAAAAATACAGTATCTTGTAGAATTTGGAGCGTCGCCGACTTTTTTTGTGCAATGTGAATTCTGGCTCCAATTCGCAATACGAATGCCAAACTTTTTATTTGTAATACAGTTTCCGTTTACTGCTGTTCTCGCCTTAAAATAATAATTATAATGGATAATAACATAAATGTCATAGCATATTGCACTATACCAGATTAATCCGAAATTCATGTGAGTATAACTCAATTTCTTTTTTCGCATCGATATTTTTCTGAATGGAATCATTTGATTGACGTAAACATGTGAAAAAAGAGCTGGCAGCAGCTGTCCGAGAATAATTGAACAACACATAATTGAATGGATACTTTGTTTCCTTGTTTTCCATCAGCAGCTGATTCTTCACGTTTTTAGCATGTGCAAATGATCAAATGTAAATGACGCTGGTTGCGGTTTTATTCTGCGGCTCTTTTATTTGTGATTGAATTCAAAGGCTGTGACAGGTGAATACGCGTAATCACATACAAATGTATATATAATCTTTTTAATATTTAGCATTAATATTTTAATTTTACACACACACACTTTTTGAGCATCATGTACTTTGATATAAAAAAAAAAAACAAAGCAAAAAAAATTAAATCGTTCTACTCACGTTGGATGACAACTGGCTGGATAAACTCATTACTTGTTCACGTGCATCGCATAATTCGCGCTTCAAACGGCGCACTTCATTTGCCTGGCGATCTTCGGCCGAACCATACAACGATGAACCACCTGATATTAATGACGCTGCGCTACCATGCACTGTGTGTAACGGAGAGAAAAAAAACACCGCAAATAAATTAAATATTCAATATGATATTCATGTGTCCTCATTAAAAGCTGGGATGTTAAAACGTAATAATAAATCAATTAGAATGAAAACATACCGTCGTCGTTCTTTTTCGGATATGTTAAGCGATAAGCATGTGTTGGAGAGAGTGGTCCATTGGTGCTGAAACGTGACGGTGGTGTCGGTGATGTCGGTTGACTCCATGGCACCGCCGTTTTTGCGGTTGCATTTGCGTGCGCTGCCAATGGATTCTGTATGGTCGCACCCACGGGTAAACAGTAATACGGCTCGATTTCAACATCGGGGCCACGTGACAGCATCGATGGATACATTTTTTCTGATTTTGTTGATCTGCAGATTTAAAATGAAAAAAAAAAAAAAAAAAATACTTTGCGTTAATTTCACGCGGTAAAAAGAAAATATTACACTGATCCAGATAAACAATATATCATGAATTATAGGCAAATTATTTGAAGCATAAGTAAGCAAACATATACAAAACGAGCAAATGAATGGTTAAATGTTTGATTTCAGCTTTCATAAATTCTACAACGTACAATTTCCGCAATTTGATTATATATGCAAAACAATAATGACCAGTATCTGTCGATTACATGTTGTAAAAACATGGCAGACTGAGTTTTACATTAATTTTCCACTGAAAACTGATTATTATTTTATTGAAATTTGCTACATTTTATGTTAGAAAATGAAAATTTGCGGCAGATTTTCTAATTTTAAAATAGGGCATAAAGTAAATCAAAGCATTTTTGACGTTTTGCATTTCATCTCCTTTCACTGAAAAGGCTTTCAGAGATAAGTTGTTTATCTTGCGTGAAACAGAAATTATATAATGACAATAATCCTACATTTACGAGAAGCCAACGTGTAATTTACTTCCTGTGAAACAATGATTATATATGGCTGGTTATTCAGAATATCATTAAAAAAACAAATAAAACGATTGCATAATTTCAGTTGTAGGCACTTTTCAGCATCTGCAGTGATTTGATTACAGATTAATGTACAAAGCAAACAAAAGCGGTATAAGCGTATGAATGTGCGTCATGCGGTGAATAACATCCAATCGTATACAATTTGTGGTTGCGGTATAAGGGAGTTTTTCATGTACCTTGGATATGTCCTTTCTTTCAGATAGCTTTATAATTGGTTTTTTTTTTAAATTTGGAATTGAGTTTTTTTTTTGTTTGGAGAAAAATGATAAAAACAGAAAAGAATGAATGAGATTTTTCGATGATTTAAAATATGTGTATGTGGGATGTTTGTTCTTAGATTTGGAAAAATAAATTATTAAAGTAATGCTATTTTTTGTTATTTTCAAAATAAATCGGAATTCACCTAATGCTATTGCTTCGATTAAGTCGTGGGCTATGTGTGTACGATGATTCTCGTTGCATCATCTTATGTGCCCGTGCTGGTGAATTGATGCCAACATTGTCGGCGGTGTCACCTTCTGATAAACGGCTGGTGGCTGTATTGCTGTGCTTCAACCACATCGCATAGCTACCATAATCGGTTTTAACTTCAGCATATGTTTGAGTATCCGATAAACTACCGTCAGTCATTTTAAGTGATCCACGATTGGCCATTCTGAATTAAAAGAAAAACGAAATCAATTAGAATCTTCAGAAATTGAACGGTTTGGTTGCTTATTTACCGATGCTGGAAGACAGATAAATCGGTTCCCGGTTTTGGCAAACTGTGTGATCCACTTGCGAGCCGTTCGCGAATCGACTGGCTAAGTTGAGCTGCATTTGTTCCAGTCAATGAGAAACTGCGATTTTGTGCATTTGGCGGCAATTTTGTTTGTAGATCGGCGGTACATGTTTGAGTTCCGCCAGACACTTTCATCTTATTTGCACGTGGAACGGCTGATACATGGGCTGTTCGGCCGCCATTTGTGGTCATCATCATGGTTGTTGTTGGCTGAGATTGGCCATCCATCGATCCATTCGATCGTTTCATATAAGCGAACACCTGTTGTGGAGCACTTTTGGCACGACTCTGCGGATTTTTTGATGACGAATTTCGACGAGAATGACTCGGCGAATTTTTATCTTTGCGACTCGGTGTTGGACTCAAATTGGTCTAAAGAAAACGAAAAATATTGAATGAATTAGATTTCTTTCGCAAATTTAAGTTTAAGAAACTTACCGGATCTTGGCCATTTGTTGTATCGGCCAATTTGGTCCATTGCTCAACCGTTCCATTTCCATTTATTAAATGGACTGTATTCGGTGGCGGAGGCAACGGGCTTCGGTGCCGAGCACTTCCATTCATTTCCATTACATGAGACTGAATTCCAATACTGTCCAAATGTTCACCTCTACTGCTGCGGAATCTAAAATTGATAAAAAAAAAAAAAAAACATAAAAAATCCGTAAGTCAAGTGATTGAGATATTCATAAGTATTGGAAAAATTATTGATAAGGAAATTTTTCATTAGGTAAAAAGTTTTTTCGAAAAATTTTACGGCATTTGCATAAAATAGCAATCTCCAAATTGCTGAATTCGAAAAAATAATCATCGTTTAAAATTCTGAATAAAAAATTAACTGAATATGAAATTAAAATCGAACTATAAGTCAACTATGATCGATATCACAGTGCAACGCAAAATCATTTAATCGCTGAAATTTGTGTCTGACACATTGTTTTTTAAATTTGTTCAAAATCTCTAAATTTTCGAAATGTGTGATCCACCAATGAGCCCTCTCTAGTAAGTGTTTGAGTGGTAAACTAAATGAAAACGATTCAAATGGTTTGAAATATTTATAGCCGGATTTTTTTTGATTCAGTTCAGTATGTCACAGTCTCAAAGAGGAAAAAGTTGAAATGCAAAATCTCAATCATCGTTTGGCTTGTTATATTGATAGAATTCATTTTTTGGAGTCTGAAAATGCCCGTTTGTGGAATGAGGTTGGTATTATTATTTGTTCATTTTCATGGATTTTGCTCTTAATTTCCAATGTGTTTCCAATGTAAGGCCAATATGCATACAAACGAAAAAATGAACATTAAATCAACGTTTGAGTGTGAACTTGAGGATGTACGTAAAAGCTTAAATGATAGAATGGCAGAAAAATCTCAAATGGAAATAGAAATCAAGCAGTTGTGCGATGAAAATGGTCGGCTACGAAATACTTTGCATCAATTAAGTGGAGAATTGGATGCGAATAAAGCGTACGAGGAATATTACAATTCGACTATGTATGACAAACAATGTTATTTGGATCGCATTCGAGAGTTAGAAGAACTGTACAATGAACAGAGGTGCCTCCGTGCTGAAAACGAGTCTGAAATTCGAATGTTGAAGAATGACATTGCACAACAAATGCAAGATTATCAATGTCTTATGGACGTGAAAATCTCATTGGACTTGGAAATTGCTGAATATGGCAAATTATTGGCCGCCGAAGACGAACGCTTGAATCGCTTTTTATCTTACGACTGCAACCAAACCCCTTGCGATCAAAATTGTAAGACGATTTAGCGATTGTTTTTTTAGCTAATCGCAAAAGATAAAACATGTAAACCATACTCTGTATGTCATAACATCGAAGAGTTACTACAATGAAAAATGTTTGTTTTTATTTTGAGTTTCCAAATTGACATTTTACTATAGAATTCAACATTAGCAAGTTGTAAAGCTATACGCAGATGGTGCTCGTTTTTTTGAGCGACTTGGAAAGGAAATGAAAATATCATTTGGGCGATGAAAGGCATTGCATCGCTACAAGTGTTCTAGAATTTAATTTCTATGCCACAAATGCAATGGCCTTTGAAGTGGATTGAGAAAGTGGATTGAGAAAGTGTATTATAAAGCAATTGACATGGTGTCCTAAATATGAACAAAAACACCGTATTGATTGTCATTTTATTGTTGTCTCTAACATAAAAACAATACAACATTAAATGTGGTTTAAGAGCTTGTGCCAATTTCCTTGTCATGTTATGCAATGCTTTCCATTTTTATACGAACGCCATATATTTTATAGCAACCGGGGAAATTGCATATACAATGTAATGGGACATAGTCCACATAATCTGTTTAGCGGTACAGAAAATGCCTACTTTGTTCGATTTCGAAGCGATAGCAATGTTATTGGTTTTCAATAAATATTTTCGATTAAGTTTATCGGTGAGTTTTAGTTATTTCAACATTTTCTAAAGGAAATCCCCATAGCTCATGTGATGTAAATGGAACGATGAGTAAGCGTTAGTCACACACATCGAATAAAGTGGTTTTGAAAATATTTATATGATAAGAGTGCGCTTTCCCCACACTTACACACTGAATGTACTAAAACTCAGGAAAAAAATCAGCGAATTTTTTAGCCAGCTGATATACTAGCTTTTGATGACTATCTTTCATTGCGGAGAACCATTGATCAATGTAGCTTTCATCAAACCACTAGAGAAAGTACATATGATGCCGTTTGGCACACCTAGATTTACACTATTTAAAATTCATGGGCTCACTTTCGTCTCATAATGAACACGTATTCATTGCGCTCTTGTAATTTGCAATATAGGAAAGTGTCACCATGCCATTATAAACACTATAAACAATGCATGTTCAATTGTTCAATATGCCATGGTGTCATGACTTTTGAATTTTTCCAAGAAGATTTCCTCAATTTTCAAGAAAAATTTCATTCGGGGAAGCATATTTGTCTGTTTGTTACAGCGTTCGTGTCGGTTTGCCTCCTTTAATACTTGATATACGTCAAATGAAAATTACCATTAAACTCGACGCAAAAACAAGAAGAATAAAAAAATGAATATTTAAGCGCTCATTGAAGAATAATAATTATTGTTTGATCTTGTATATATAAAGATGTTCATCGATCGCACATATTTGTGTTCAGTCATTATTCGAACTAGAAAGAGTGGAGCCGAGTTAAAATGAAGTTGTTGGTGCTGTTGTGTTGTGGCATTATATTCAATGTAATTTTATTCATTACTTATACATTTTTTTCATTTCAATGGTAAAATTTTGAATTTCATAATTATACGAAGGTTTTGTGCTCCTTGTGAGTTTTTATAATAAAACAATTTTTTACGTGGCTTTATAAAAACTCAAAAAGAGCTCGTATTTTGCGAAATTTTACAAAAAACCGTATTTTTTCAGCTTGTTGGACCTTCGGAAGGGGCCAGCTATGAAGTGAAGCTAGCAATCAGGAATATTACGGCTCGTTTAGAAAAGATCAAGGCAACGGCAGAAGGCTTGTACACATTGGAAGATTGGCTTAAGGGAAACCGAGTAGAAAGGTTAAAAAAAGTTTCCGATGAAGATCATCTTCCAGAAGAAATGAAAACTCTCATTGACCAAGTCATTGTCAAAATCGATGAGACAAATAGTATTAAGAGTAACACTGAAGACCATTTAAAAGCGAAATTCCAGGAATTTCGAAGTGGACGAAATGAAGAGGAACACATGGTCACACTATTTGAAAATGAAATTACAGGTGTAGATCTCGAAGAAAAATCCATTAAAACGTTAACCAAATTGATGGTGTATCTGTATCGAGTGCACAAAGAATATCGAGCTTATGATAAATTGAAAAAACAATTGGAAAAAAAATTTGTGGACAAAATTTTCAAAAATACATTTTTCAGTAATAAATTGCGTGGAGTTAACAACGGCATCAGAGATCTTGCCAAACTCGCTGAAAGGGATCCAATAAAACAAACCAATAGAAGAGTTCGAAAAATAACGACCAAAACGCAAAAAAAGGTGATAAAACCATTGGAATACGTTATTAGTAGTAAGGAGAGGGATCTTATGCTCAGCCAACTCAAAGATCAAAATGAAAAAAATTATCGAACATTTCTTGATAAACAAGATATAACTTTGAAAAAAGTCACAACTTTGTTGAAGGGATAGAAAATCAAACCCAATAATGTCTCTTGATGGATTTTCTCACAAACAACTTTGTGATATTTGTTGTGTTCAAATGAAAATTGAAATAAATTTCACAAATCACTGCATTTTCTCTCATGTTTTTTCTGTTTTTTTTTGTTTGTTTTAAAATAGGTACATACTTGTAAACGCTTTTGTTACGCAAAACGTATTTTTATTATATTATTTTAATTTGTTTGTCAAGCTCGAACCATCGTCACCCTTACCAGAAAATTTACTCATTTTTTACTTTTCCGCACACCCACTGTGTGCAGTAAAGTATCATCACTTGCACATGAATGTTTCGAAATACATAACTGGTAACAATTTAGGATGATGTTTCTTTGCAACTTGCGCCTTGGTTGCAAATGAGTTGCATTTCAGTTTTCGCTACATTTTTTCAACAATGGTATTGTGAACATATTTGAAGCTGTTGCAATATAAACATCATTCTCATAATGAAACAGATACTTTTTTTTATTCTGCTTCATGTCTCCACATCCGTATCATAAATTTTTTAATGAGAACAATGTATTATGATGCAGCGCATGCCGCATAATGTTTCATTTACTGGATGCAATTGACGACACTCTATAGAATCTATAGCGCCGGTGAGCCATATAGAATGACAGCAGCAGCAAAATAAACAAAGTATCCAATGAGGTGCTGAACGAAAACCAAGCGATACTTTTGAAAATCGTTCTTGTTGGAATGTTCAATTAAAAAGTGCTTTCACGCTTAAATCACGTCGATTGCAAAATGAAATCAGAAAATAGAGCACATATTCCAGAAACCGAGTTCTCTTTTTAACCAAATATAAATTTTTAAGTACAGCCATCAATTGAAGTGGCCTGTATCTGTCAACATTGACTTACATGTTTTTCAAGAATATTCTTGCAAACAAAATGTGCATATTGACAGAGAAGAATAAAAATTAAAAAAAATCGAATAAACTACATATGTACCGATTTAATACAGCAATATTGAAATCGTTGTCCTATTTTCCCCTTCGACAATTTAAATTTACTGCTCGTTAAACACGAACTGTGTTCACTGAACAAATGCATTTTTCACGGAACAAATATTGCACACATACATTATGTACTGAGAGTAGTATTCTTTATCCACAAAACAGAAATTCAAACATTGAAACAATTGTCTTATCGCTGTAACACCAACTCAAATTCTTCAAGTGCATGAAAAAACGACGAACTGAAGATGAGTGTAGATGCGGATGTGAAAACACTATAATCATTCGATAAATGGAATGAATTGAATGACGAGCATCATCTGTTCATCCGAACAAATTCCACCTTCTTAATAAAATAATAATTGTTTCGTCGAAATGATAGATTACATTAAATATAGCATATGTCTGGAAGTCTCATTTAGACGTAATGGCATCGCGAACATAGTTGGTTGTACTTGAAATGGCAAAGTTGGCGTTGATTGAGCGCTTTTCAGTTTGTTGACTCTTATCATTTCTACGCTCGCAAATGTGTTGACATCTCATACATTGAGCTCATTTTCAATTTGAGCTAATGAAAATACCAAACCAAATACCAATTTAGATCGCGCAGAATGATAAAATGAAGAGAATAGCATGTGTGCTGCTTGATAGTGCACTTAAAGTGTATTGTCATAAGAATATAATTTTACTACGCATTTCTGTTTGTATAAAATCGAAGCAATTTTGAGTGGTATATACGCGGAAAAAAGGGTTAAATACTTCAATTAGATTGCGCTTTAAAGATTACAACACCGTTGAAAGAAGTGACAAGGCGCGCACGAACGCCCTGTCTATGTCATTCATGCATAATTTTTTGTATTTGCCAATTCAGCAGTTGCCTCTAGACTCTACCTATATGTATTTCAATGGCTTTACGTTGATAATGAAACATGTGATGGAAAGAAAAAGTTGGTAAAACTAGTACCCTTTGCTTGCTTGAAATTTGTTTCAAAACAGTATTAAGGAAGTAAATGAAAGTAACTCGCTATTCGACACATATACGCTTCGTTTACTATTATCCATATTCATTCAGTTTCAGTACAGTTTTTATTGCGTGTCTTTGTTTGGTTGTACGATGCGTAAATGTACGATGACTATAAAAAAAACCTCCGCTTGAATGAAACTCAAGCGAAATGACACATACCGAAATGCAATATCCATTCGGTTGTTATTTATTGTCGCCACATCAGCACATTGATCGCCACTAGATATTGAATGTGTGAGCGTATTTATCCCTTGGTCATTCCTTATTCAGTTGAAATGAAGCGCCCGAATACATTTGAACTTTTGTCGTTTGATGTCGGATGTAATTGTTTTAGTTTGTTGGAAGAAATTTGGTTATAGTTTATTTGATCAACTGATTAGCGTTTCAATCTCAGTGTTCATTCATTTCCTCCGTTTTTCCACATCTTTCAAAATGTTGCGTCGTAAAAGTTTTTTTATTGCATTTCACTTCACATACGCTCGATTTAGTTCTCTTATTTTATCAACGATAGATATCAGCGAAATTTGCCTTGGTTTTTTTTTAGCTAAGCCACTATCACTACCCGTCGTACTGTCTTAGTTCATTTTATCTTCTACACATAGAGCTTCTTCTGCATTTGTCTACTATATTAATGCACAATTTTGTCTTTCGCGTGATGTTATTGTCTTGCGTATTATTTTTTTCTCGCGTAACAAAAAAAGTTTTCGCGATTCACCGAAATTCCCCAGTTAAAAGATGTGGAAATAAATGTCTATACTGGGAGTTTTCTTTTTACAATTCAAAGCACGCATTTCCACTTTGTATTGTCTTTGGTTAGTTCCTTTTTATCGGTGTGTTTTGTATTTTGCAAGAGAAACAGCTTGTATTACAACTCTTGCCATTAGTTGTCAAAAACTTTTGTTAAATTCTGAGTGAATCATCGACGTTATTACATTGAAACGGTAGCGAACGTATGAAAATTTTATTTGTTTCAGAAGAGAATTCACATTTCGTCGTTTCAAAAGCGAATGGTATTTTTTGCATGCAAAAAAAGGTATGTTACCACATTTTAAATTTCATGTGTGTATGTTTTGTTCGTGTGGGTTTTTGAAACCATTCTTTCTATCATTTGGTTGGTAAGCGAAGCATCAAGAAATGAAAGCTCTGCATTCAATTTATAAAATAATTGCACAGGTATTTGGTCCGCGGTAATAAATTTATAACGTCTTTTTTTATTGTAGCATATTATTTTGCATGTAAATTATCACGAAGAAGAAGCACATTAATTTTGGGATAGTAAACTTAAAGTGTAGACAGCGACAAACGAACGTAAAACGTGTAAATTTATTATTATTTTTTTTGGTTTGATTGAATATTATTTAAACTTGATTATTATTTTAAGGCATTTTTACGATTATTTTGCTAATTTATGAACTATTTGAAGCGCATTATAAAATATACTAAATCGAATCAACGTCTTCGAAACACGCACACTGATTTAAACAAAAAGCAACACTTAAAAGCACTTTTTTCGCATTTATCCTATTCAAAATGGCAAAAAATTTGACCATTTGAATTTAAAAAAATGATTTCTCACGTTTATTGTCTTTGAACAAATTGTGTCACAAAAAAAATTCACCCTCGACCACAAAGAAATAAAATATACGTTTGGGTGGTGCTTTCACATTTTATATGAATAGACTTTTACATTGCTGTTTTGTGAATAAGAAGAGCGAGAGCGAAAAAAACGTAGCTGTTCAAGCAACAGCAGCTTGTTACGACCATCGAGCCGACTGAAAGACGGAAGAATCACACACATGTTTGTGTGTGCAAAAAATCATTCGAATCGGGCGGTTTCTGTGTAAGTGGTCGTTTCAAAGTATATTTGAATATCATACATATAAAAGAGAGCGTATGCGAAATATGGATAGAGAGAGTAAAATGTGAATTTACACCACAGACGAGCGTTTCATGAGTCATACGAATGTGGCGATTATTTCAACAAGTACGAGTGTGTTTGTATGGAGTAATGTGTGTACGAAATTCGCATGAATCGCGAATAGTGATAACTGTTTATAGTGAGAGGGCGATTTAAGGATAGTACTGCGTATGCGCCGTAAATGTCATGAGCAAATGAGTGTACATTTGACAATTCGACAATAGAACGCTCCTCTGTGAGCAGAGTTGTTTGTGGTCTCTCATTTGCTCAACGGGCTGTTGAATCGCGACACGAGCGACACGGAGAGATTCGGTTGTGAAATCGACAGCGAGACATGGAAGAGAATATACTGTTTGACCGTTTTGCATGCAACAAATGTGTGTTGTTTTGAGCAAACGCATTCACTTCGGAAACAGGGTTTGAACAAATATTCAATCTTCACTCACACAGTTCTCAATGCAGAAGCGCATCGTCCATGAGCATACATTTTATGTAGTTGTATAATAAAGCAATATGATTCGCATAATAAATTTTACAATACGGCTTCAATTGAAATGAATGTGAAAACAAGAAAATAAAAAAAAATCATTTAAAAAATTCAATTGAAACTTTTTTCTTTAGTTTTATGTGTTCGGATTTAAAGTTTTTCCATATAAGCTATATGATGATTTCAAAATTCAATTTAGTTGCGCTAACACGTTCGTGGCATTTAAAGAGAGAACGAACTATGAAATTGATCGATGGTATCGACAACATGTATTAAATATGAACGATGCCGAACGGAAGCGCTGATCCTTGGTGTTTGTGAAAGTTATAGCCAGTGGATTTGTTTAGTCTGGCAAAATCGAATCTCAACAAACGGAGTACATTCAAAATCCAGAGAAACAACTTCGTATGCACGGTGCATTAGTTGGGTTTTCATGTGTTCCGCATTAGTGACAGACAATGGCAACAAACTTAATATCTCTAGAAAGATTTTTCTTCTCAAACACAATATTTTCTTAATGCATCCTTTTCGCTGCTGTGAATTTTCGAGCGTTTTAGCACTCACACTGTCGATTTGAGAAAAGAAAAAAAAATGTCGATAAAAGCACTTCTCATCAAAGTAATGACTACATCCACACCCGACATTCATACGCACAGTCAGTTTTGTTTGAAATTGTATTTCTTGTGTTATACAATATCCTTAAGAGGCGACGACATGTAAGCAAATGTACACAACAACTAAAACGCCTCACGGTAGGCAATCTTAAAATTGAACAAAAGCAGAGTTTGGTTGTCTTTGCTACTATACTTTGTGTGGATATTTTGAGTCGTTTCTATATTAATTGTTGCTATATACAACATTTATTCATGTCAATATGTTCATGAAATAACTGCGAATCCATGCATTTTTCTTTGTCTTTGCGTATACCAAGGCAACGCAGTTGTTTACTTTGTCATTCGAACGATTTGAGCGATGTGCGAACATGTGTTACACATATATTATTACGCATCTCGTTTATGTGATGTAATACAAGTCGGAATCATTAGGTTTTCGTTTCGTGTGCAAACAAAGTTATATTGTTTTTATGAAGGTGAAGAACGATTTATATTGATGCTGCTACTGCTTCACGAAGATCTATAAGCTTCTAATAGCATCAAATCATTTGCAGGAAATACATGTTTTCCATTAAAATGATTCATTCGAAATTCCATCGAATCGCACAATAGCTAAGAGAATGTTTTTGGCTTTTGTTCGATTCGAAAATTTTGAGTGAAGTCCGTTGGTTGCCATTGCTACTTGAAACCTTTAAATTGAGTTAAATTTATGAAAACGTGCTTACTTTGTTTACTTGATTAACGCAAATTATTTGGCAAAACTTACGTCAATTATGAAGGGAAATTTTCCTTGAAAATGTTTGTTTTTTAAAACGTGCCTTCTGCAATTTGCACACAAATACACTTGTTCAATAGTGTAACTCTTGGACACTATAAATCGCTAAAAAATAATTTTCTTAGAATACGATTTCCATTGAAAATTTGGCTTACCTCCCATACAAAGTTTTGGCAAAAGTAACAATTGATCCGACTTTCTCATGTCAAGGAGCGTTTTGATTGAAAGTAAACTTTCAAAAAATGGCAAAAAAAAATGGATCTATCCTAAACAAAAAAATGTTGAAATAAAAAACTTTTGCAAATCTCTTAGCTTCAGCGATACACCCTATTATTCAACTTATTTTCCAGATGGCACATATTTTTAATTCATCGAATTTCTTGACTACGCATTTTTGTGTGCGTTAATTTCATATATAATACCTTGTTTCCATGGCAAAACTACAGTATAAATTCGATATCTCTAGAAAAAGAAATTTCTTTCAATTCAAATTGAGATGATAATAATTTTGGCAATATTTCTCTGTTTGGGAACCTTATTCGGTGATTGTGGTAAGAAAATTACATTTAAAATTATTACCGAATCGTTTTTATCCAATTATGATTAATCCATAGCACCTCCGCCGGAGATTGTCAATCCAGATGATATAAGCTACAATGGAGATCCGATTCAATTTTGGTGTGTGTATGACCAAAAGTAAGTGCTTAAAAAAGAAATTCTACAACCATTCCACTGCACTTTTTCAAAAGATTTATTTACTAATAATTTTTTTTCAACAGCCAAGTGCAATTTCTTGATGCACGAAGCAACGATATGGTATCGAAACTTGAATTGATTGGATGTTTGGATAATGGAAAAGGTCTATCCTTATATTTCCCAGGAATACAAACTACTGTTGCTTCAGGTGAGTTATTAAAGAAATTACATCAAAAGATTAAACTCAAATATACAAATAATTTCATTTAACTTTAGGAGATGATTTTGAAAATGCAAAAGGTATTTATTTTTCATTTGTACTGTGAATTTTATTCGAAAAATTCAAATTTTTTGTGAAATTTTTTTTTTAGGATGGTTTGAAGCATCTGATACAAACATTTGCTATGTCACATATGCATATTTGGGCCAAAGTTCAGAAAATTCTACTGATTCTCTCATGAAGAAAATGGCAGACACCCGCCGTATAGAATATGCTGCCAGAGAAACGAGAGATTTTGTAGTAATGCTAAAAAAAAATTGTTTTAAAAACGGTTCCCTACAGACTTTATTAAAGCTGACAAATATGGCCGTCATAGGTCATCACTTTGGAGCACACGTTGGAAGTGTTGCTTCCAAATATTTGACTTTGACATATGAGGATATGGATATTAATTTAACAGGTATTCGATCACTTCACCTTTCAAATAAAGCTCTTAAATTAATCAATATTTGAAATGGTGATTAGGTCTAGATCCAGTTGATGCATCCGCATACCTTAATAAAGGACTTATCTTTACCTGGTCCGATCGAGTGTATTCCCAAGGTATATTCACTACTGAACCGGATAGAAATAACATAGGATTCAATGGCGTATACATAAAGAATGAGTGTTCAACGGACATTAAAGCCGAAGATTTGATTATTGCCATTAACACGGCTACTTGTCAGAAGAATATCATCGCTACTGCAAAGTCGAGTGGAACCGGTACAATTAAACTACATCGTGGAGCACCAGTTGCTCTTGCTAGTAATGAAGTTCAAATTGGACCATACAATCTAAGCAATAGACGTCAAGGCATTTTTCACAGGATTTTTACACTGTCTGTTACATGCAGTGCTTACGAAACCTTGAGACAAGCCTTACATTCACATGGTAAGAACATTTTTCATAATCGATAATGTTTCTTTCAAACTAATTTCTCTGGTGATATTTTCAGTGTCATTGCAGTACAAGGTTGATCCAGTGATATTTTCATGCATTCATAGCAGCAAGTAAGTTATACATATTTTGTTGATTTGAACAATTTCGTTTATTTGTATGAATTACGACGTTTCTTTGAAGTCAAGGCGCCTTTCTTCAAGCCAGAAGCGACGACTTAGGATCAAAATTAGAATTGATTTCATGTTTGAATAATGGAAAAGGACTTTCAATATATTTCCCATCAATAACATCGACTGTCACAGCAGAAGGTGAGTTAAAAATAGATATTTCTTCACAATTGGATTATTTTGTGGTGAATTCTTGGATTGTCATTTAATAACATATCAATTTTATTTTAGGGCCTGATTTTAGAAAGGCAAAAGGTAAGATTTTACTATTTTCGTTAATATTTTTAATTGAAAAATTGTGATTTTCTTTCTATAGGATGGTTTGATGCATCTGATACAAATATTTGCTACATTTCATATGCCTACTCAGGCCAAAGTTCAAAAGGTTCTACATCTGCTCTACAAAAGTCAGCATCCGTTAAAAAATCGTCGTCTTTCAAGAAAATGACAAGTGTCTTGAAGAGGCTCCCTTCCACCAAGTCCTCCGCTTCTTCTTCTTCTTCTTTTTCTTCTCCTTCATCTTCTTCTACTGAAACTGCCAACACACGCCGCGTTGAGTTTGTTGCCACAGAAGCGGAAATATTTATTACCAAAATCAAAGATGAATGTGTTCAAAATGGAGTTGATGGGTCATTCAAGTCTTTGAGACAACTAACAGTAGTCGGACATAATCTGGGTGCGAATATTGCAAGTCTAATTTGTAAATACTTTTTCTTCAAAAATATTGAAACTGGCGAAAGAGTTAATATGTTAATAGGTATTCAAAGATCACACATGCCAACTAGACTTTCTTTTATTAATATCTATAAATTTAATCAGCTCTAGATCCATCCAACGAAGAAAAAATTGCGATTGAAAATAGATATGCCATGTATACGCAATTTATCAGCACTACTAAACATCGAAAACTGAATATTCAGCCATATTATCATAATTCACCGGAGCACCATTACGTACACATTAAGAATGAATGTACAACAAAAATAAAATCAATGGATTTGATTGCTGATATTCACACAGCTACCAGTAGAAAACAAATTGTCGCAATTGCAACGCATAACGGAACCGGTTCAATAAATCGCCAAATTTCTGTTCCAAAATCAAATGAGGTCTTAGTTGGCGTATACAGCGAATTTCATGAACGAAACTCTGATAAAGTTTTTACTCTATCTATTAATTGTAAAAAATTGACGAATTTAACACAAGCAATGGAACATTAGGCAGAGCATGTGGGTATTTGAAATGTTTCTTTTAGTGAATTTAGACAAACCACAGCATTTATTCTATTTATTCACCGTCTGATCACAGATAAAATCACAATTATTTACAATATCATTTGCAATGAAACACTACCCGATCGAATACCAGCTGCCAGTCTTTTCGACTTCGGAGCAGCAGATATCGACTGTGTCGATTGTATATTACTATATTCATAACACAATTTTTCTTTTTACCGAATATTAAATATCAAATTGCAATAATCTTTTAATAATAAAAATCTGATTATAGAATTCTTTAAAATTCCTCTATTTTTCGAATGGTCAATGTAAAATTCAATAGAAACAAGAGATGTCTTCAAAGATGATTGTTGGAAAAATGGATTTAATGGTTCATTTAAATTGGCACATTAGTCACAAGCTCAATTATCGGTCGAAATAATATTGATACAGATATTTGATAATAATAAAAACGAAATGAGAAAAACAAAAAAATACACGTTTTTCTTTCAAATTTATTTTATTGACGAACTAAACGAGGTTCATCTTAAGAAAAAACAAAATATTTTAGAAAAACAACATCAAAATAGCTGAAATATTGAACAAAAAAGTTGTGTATACTTGATTAACGTAAGCTGTATACGAGTACGTCAATACTTCATTTAAAATTGCTTGGTTTTCACAGAATCGATTGAAAAAATAAATTATTCTTTATGACTTTAATAATTTTGATACTTGAGAATTCATGACTACACACTTTTGTGTGTTTTGTTCATACAAATAATATCTACGTTACAGTTGGTATGAAAAGTTACAGTTAGTCTGCGATATTCCTGAAAAATATATTAAGAATATGTTATCAATTCACGTTGCGAAGATAACAATTTTGGCAATATTTCTCTATTTGGGAAGTTTCTCTGTTAATTGTGATAAGAAAGGTAAATTAAAATTCAATATAAAATGATTTAATTAAGACTATTCTTATCACTTAATAGTACGTTCACCCCCACCGGAGATCAATCCAGACGATTTGAAGTACAATGGGGAGCCGATACAATTTGCATGCGTTTATGATAAAAGGTCATGAGTCTTGGGTTATGTTAATTTCTTTAACTTTAAATTTATAAATATTTTCAATGTATAGACAGGAAGAATTTCATGGAGCACGAAGTAACGATATGGGATCGAAACTCGAATTAATTGGATGCTTAGATAATGGAAAGGGCCTTTCGCTATATTTCCCAGGATTAACATCCACTATAAGCGCAAAAGGTGGGTTAAATTGTTTTATACCTAGTTTTATACAATACGATTTCGTTGAGAATTTCATTATTTTTTTTATATTTTAGGAACTGATTTTTACAATGCAAAAGGTAAAATTTTTCCATAAAATAATTTCCGAAAAATGTTCAATTTTGTTTTGTTTTAGGATGGTTTGAAGCATCCGATACAAATGTTTGCTACATAACATATGCATACACCGTCCAAAGTTCAAAAGAAACTGCATCCCCGATATTGGAGATGGTGGGAACGCGTCGAGTAGAATTCGTTGCCAGAGAAGCGCGAGACTTTGTAATGAAGCTCAAAAGTGACTCTAGTCTAAATGGTTCCGTTAAAACGTTGACACAAGTTACCGTGGTTGGACTTCAGTTGGGAGCGCACATTGGAAGTCTAACTTGTAAATACTTGGCCAGGAAAAATAGTGAAATGGTTGATAAACTAATAGGTATTCGAAGAATTATTTGAAGAACCACTGAACTCCCTTTAATTCATCAATATTAATCAAAACAGGTCTAGACCCATTCGAAACATCTTCGTACCTTGATAAAAGTATTATTTTTAGCCGAGCATATGCCAACTTTGCGCAAGCTATTTTTACTACTAAACATGAGACACCCCTTCGGAGAGAGGCCACTGGATACCAAGACGTCTACATAAAGAATTCCTGTTCACCACACATTAAGGAAGAAGACTTAATTGTTGATATTCACACAGCCATTAGTAGAAAACATATCATTGCATTTGCCGGAAATGAATTTGCTATGGGATCGATTCAAGCGGTGAATGGAGTTGGTTCAATTAATATAAATCAACATGGGAAGCCTGCTGTTCCAGGTGATTATGATGCTTCATTTGGCGTTTATGCTAGACTACGTCGAGAAAACTATGGAAAGACTTTTACATTGGCTGTGACATGTAGTGTTTACGACACCTTGACACAAGCGCTGCATACGCATGGTAAGAACAATCGAAGTGTTTCTTTTAAATTAATTTCTCTGGTAATATATCAGCGTCGTTAGAGTACAAGGTCGATCCAGTGATATTTTCATGCATTCATAGCAGCAAGTAAGTTACAGATATTTTGTTGATTTGAACAATTTCGTTTATTTGTATGAATTATGACGTTTCTTTGAAGTCAAGGCGCCTTTCTTCAAGCCAGAAGCGACGACTTAGGATCGAAATTAGAATTGATTTCATGTTTGAATAATGGAAAAGAACTTTCACTGTATTTTTCATCAATAACATCGACTTTCAAAGCACATGGTGAGTTTAAAATATTGCTTGACAACAAAACTACTTTGATGTGAATTCTTGGATAAAAAAATGTTCTTTTTATGTTAGGTCCTGATTTTGTAAATGCAAAAGGTAATTTTGATATTTTAAATGAAAAATGGTTATTATTTTTCAAAATATTTCGTCTTTCTTCAGGATGGTTTGAAGCATCTAATACAAATATTTGCTATATTTCATATGCATACTCAGGCCAAATTTCAAAAACTTCCAAGAGCCCCAAGAGTTCAAAAAGTTTAAAAAGTTCCAAGAGTTCTACATCTTCTTTACAAAAGTCACCGTCTTTCCAAAAAATAAAAACTGTAATTTTGAAAAAGTCTACCTGGCTCTCTTCTTCTTCTACGGAAAAAATGGCAGAAGAGCGTCGTATTGAGTTTGTTGCCAGAGAAGCGGAAATGTTTGTAACGAAGATCAAAAAGGAGTGTTTGCAAAATGGAGGTGTTGGTTCATTCAAGTCTTTGAAACAGCTAACTGTAGTTGGGCTCAATTTGGGAGGGCACATTGGGAGTCTTACTTGTAAATTCTTGCTCTATAAAGTTATTTCAGTTGACGAAAGAGTCAAAATGTTAATAGGTATTCGAAAAACACACATTTCAATTAAACTTTATTTTACTAATCGATTTTTACAATTTGAATCAGCTCTAGACCCAGTCACTACATTTCACGATGAAAAATTTGTGTTTAGGAGTAGATTTGCCAAGTATACACAAATTATCTCCACTATGAAGCCTCGAAAGCCGTTTACACTTCCGTATTTTCATCATTCACCGGTACATCATTACGTCCACATAAAGAATGAGTGTACACCAAAAATTAAATCAGAAAATTTGATTGTTGATATTAACACAGCGGTCAGTAGAAAACAACTCGTCGCAATTGCAACGCTTAACGGAACCGGTTCAATGTATAACCAAATAGCTCAGTCAAGCTCGGCTGTTCCAAAATCAAATGAAGTTTTAGTTGGCGTATACAGCGAATTTCATGAACGAGACTATGATAAAGTTTTTACTTTATCTGTTCCATGTGGAAAATTGGCAACTTTACAACAAGCATTAGGTCAGAGGTAAGGAAGCATCAATGATATTGCAATTTTGTATCATGAGTATAAACCATCTTTTGTTTTAACTATATTGAAAATATCTAATATAGAAATATTTCAATAAATGCTTTGAAACATGCACAGAACATCAGTTTTATATTCCAATGATCCATTTTAAAACTTAAAATTCAGTTTCTGTAAAATCGGTTCAGTTCAATTTGAAATAGAAATAAAATCAAAAATGAAATTATACTTGAGGTTTAATCATGCATATTCATTGGTTAAAATAGTTGACCATCTTTCCGTTGCAAATCTCAATATGTTGTCATGTTCATTCGATAAATGTGCTGATGCTGCAAAAAATCTCTTTGTATCGTATGGTTGAAAATTATTTGCCGGAAACCATGTAGTAGTCTTGAAATGTATTTGCGTTCAAATGAATAGAAAAAATTGATTTTCAAAGATGAAGTTTTTGCGTAAAAAAAGTAACATCCATGTTTCTTTTGTGTTTTGTGTATTCTCTCTCAATGTTTTCCCGGCACCGATTGCATTTTCTGTTGATTGTGCTTTTGTGATTCAAATAGATATTTATCAAGATAATATAGTAAGCGTTTTCCATAAATAATTTGAGATCATTTACACACCGAAAAATGGTCGTATTTTCGAAAATCATAACAACCGAGGGATTGCATGGCTTCGTAATAACAATAGTAAAATTTAACCATCAGCCGGAAATTGTCTCTGGGGAATGCACCAACCGCAGACAAACAAAAACATTTAGCAAATATTTAAAACCACACAATTTCATTATCTTCATCAACATGCGACGCTGACGCTTTCTTCGTTTTCATAACCCCAAATTTAAATGTGTGCATGCACACACGCACAAAACACTCCCTAAAATTTGTCGGCTCTGGGTTGAAGTTCGATAAGCGAACAAATATCAAATAAAATTTGAATTTAAATTCAATTTCTCCATATATATTTATTCGGAATGCTGCAGCATTGCTTCTTTCTTCATATGAGGGTGGTGTATTAAAGATATTTGTATTAGATGTGCCGAATGTCAGATATATTAGCATTATTTTTTGGCATCGAAAAAATTTCTCTTTTCATGTAAGATTATTTATTGCAGTTAAACCGAATCATCGAACCATTTGAAACTGCGAGAACCAATGCGAATGGATGCACTAATGCTGCAAGCGATACGATGCCATACAATCGAAATAAAAGGATAAAAGAAATGACACGCACCGAAATTATATTATCTATACGATGTTTGGGGAGCGTATTAAATGTGCCTTTCGGTTATTTGCTTTCAGTCTTACAACCATCGTTGTCGTCATCATCATATCCAGTTGCTATGACACTGTGATTTTGGTGTCTGAAATTCGCTTTGAATGTTCACTCTACCAGCAAATTGATTGACATGATTTGGCTTTGATATTGCTCGGATATCGCCTCGGTAGATTCGCTTAAACGGGAAGTTTCTCGAAATACTCGTTTTTCTTGCCTTTGCGCCATCCCACTCATTGGAGAAAAAAGCTTCGCATAAGTATGATAAACTTGATCGTGGATTCTTTTTACGGTATACTGGTTTTATTTTCATATCAAAATAATAATAATCAGTATTCGATTTTCATTTCATTTTCAATAACATTATTTATGTGGTGTATGTGTATAGAGAGAGCAAACCGCAACCAGATTGTATGCATTAAATGCCAAACATAGAGTGGAGTCGGTGAATGCGTTGCCTCTATCCATGTTTGTTGGGGATATCAACCATCGAAAAAAAAACCAACGTAACGAAGAGGATTATGTAGTGTTTGTACTTGATTCGCTTTATCTCAATTACCGAATTTATATGCTGTTTCACTCACTATGTGTGTGTATGTGCAAAAGAACGTCATGTATCGAGTGGAAAAAATAGTAGCGAGGGGAAGAGATTGGCATCAGTGGTGTTGGCCGAAAAATGTGTCGCATGTGCATGTGAAGCATACGCATAGAATAAAATGAAATGTGCTTCAGCATCATCGTATACACACAGTGATAGCAATTTAGCGATTAAACCGGTCGTGAGACCGAATATTATATTATTGTCTGACTGTCTTTTTCACAACGGCCGAAACAGCGACTAGTTCGTTCTTTTAATGTCCGTACCGATGCTGTCGCTTGTGTCGTCAGATAAGAAGCGATAAAATAAATTTATATGTATTCACCAGATGGGGATGGCTTTTTTTCCTGCTTCAACTATACATGTATGGGTGGGGAGACATGGCATTGTTTGCATTGTTGCTCCCAAAAACTTCTATTTCACTTTTTATGGGTCCGTTTTACTTTCGCGTATTTGCACATGTCTAACGGCTTTTGTTTATATTCCTAACACTTCCCATTAAATCAATGGCACATCCTGACAAAACTTTACAGAAAATTGTTTCATCGTTGGGTCCTTTTCACCGGAATGCATTTACATTTGCTTTGCTGACAAACGTCGGTGTACGTTGGCATATTGTATATTTCATTAAGGGTCGACGAAATAAATTTTCCATGCATCGATATGTAGTGTGTGATAGAGTGTAGCAAAACTAGAATTATGCTCAATACAATTTCCATGCCGAGTTCTTTTTCGGTGTCTGTTCTATTCGCTATACGAATAAATTCGGGGTACATGTTTTGCAATGTAAAAAGGCGGAAGAAAATTTTTGGCATTTGCATAATTTGCTTAAATGGCATGTAATAAAATGTATTTTCAAGCACTTTCTCTGTGTCATTTTGCAATTCTGATATATTCATTGGCATTTTATGCACTGCCGTGTATGCATGAGAAATCTTATAATTGCTACACGCTCTCAACATATCCGATTCGACTTGAAACCGAATTACCGTTTTTACATTTTATATGCTTTATACAAGTGGCTTTTTTATATGATTCGATTTTCTACAATTTAATGAGCATTGCCGTTGGAGAAACTTCTACTTCCCGACGAAGGAAAAAAAAAAACGCCGGGGATTTGATTAAGAAAATTAAAAGACATTTTATTTCTCCACTGACACCAATCACTTAAGCTTCATTAAGCTTACTCTGTTACGAATTTAATGAATTCTTTCATGATTGTTGCTGATATTTCGAATTCTGAGCACAATTCCATTTCAGATTTCCGTGCCATTCAGATCGAATCGGGTTTTTTGGCGACAAACCCATTTTTTGAGACTGAATAAAACTTTCTGCTTGAACATCAACAAATCCGATTATTGAAGTGATTATTCAATTTTATGAAGTATATTTAATGATAACCGATTCAATTTCATGAAAATTCGATTTTCGGAAAACTTCCGAAATTTTGTGAGTTTGTCGCGGATTTCAAAACATAAATTTTTATTAAGTCAACATTTTATACACTTCCCAAGTTTATAGTACAAAAGAAAATAAACCATAATGCTAATAAAAGGTTCCCGTCGTTAAGTAGGAACGAAGGAGCTAATAATAGCATCAAGTGCATACTACAAAAATGGTCCCTATTTTCGGTGACAATATGCGTATATTCCATATTTTTTTCTCGTCCCATTCAAAAGAAAAGATAATTTATGGGATGTGTCATGGCGCTATCTATTGTTACTTGTAACACCAGAAAAAAGGAAGTGAATTCGCAAGAAAATCATGAAATATGTTCGACGGAGCAGATTAGGCTATTATAATGGCACTATTATGTCTACATTAAAATGATATCAAATGGGCTATTTATTATTTCTCTCATAACAACGAAAGGCGGACTGGGATCTCTTCAAAACATCCCACATATTGTCGACTCGATTCTAGTTCGCATTTCATACTTATTTAATGATTCACTTTTGAGTTATTAATATTCATTGCGTTATACTTATTATAACACACGCAGCAGTTTTGGGCAAGAAAAATATATCCGATTTAAATGTTTTTGCACAGCCGCTCCGCGTTTTATGTCTATTATGAAAATTGCTTGGGCAGCATAGGCCAAACTAAACAAACTTAAAGTTGATCAGACAGAAAAAACGAATTGATTCATTACATATTGAGTACATCAAATGGTGTTCTTTGTTCTTTACCGAAAAGATTGTTGTTGTTTTTTGGCTTAAAATCGATTTTGTTGTAAAAGGTACTGTTTCGGGCTGTGCAAATCGGATTTGCGATATTTGCATAATAAAGCCGTTGTTGATGTATAAAAGGTTCACGCACAAATCAAGCAATCCTTTCGACGTGATTAATAACAACATTGCAATTCAATGCATGATAACATGGTGGTATTTGTGATTAACATTGATTTTACCAGACGGTATTGAGTCAGTGGACGCCCAGCTACTAAATCAAATGCTGTTCTTTAGTTGTCTATTAACACGCTATAAAGAATGAAAGCAGCGGACAGTAGGGAATCGCTTTGGCCATTGTTTCACCGTCACCGTTGTGGGTGAGTGTTGACGGTGATTTTTGAGCAAAGGCCTATGTTCGCAATTACTGTTCAAAGGGGATTATGTGATTAAATTGTATTCTCATGCTTGAAATGGTAGCGGTTTGAGTCAAACTGACGGAGTCGAAAAATAAAGCTCACGTTTTTCTTTAAAAAAAAGAAACTTGTGATTCAGAATGAAACATGTGAGCCGATGAAATGAGGTGTAAACGTGAGTCACACACAACTATTCCAAGGGGTTTTGTTATCGCAAATTGGCGACGCGCAGTCAAAGAAGCAAAAAAAAAACACGTAAAAACGGAGCATGATAAATGAGCAGAGATGAAAGAAGCGAATGTGTAAAGTGCACGACGCAAAGATTTTCATAAGGTTGATGTCAGCTTGACGTATGTGATTGTTTATGGGTGTGCAAGCGACTGTCGTAGAGTAGCGACAAACGAAAGAAAAAAAACTGAAGAAGAGAGATGCTGCACTGAATTAATTTTGCAGATTAACGTGTCGTCTCCCGATGATGCTATGAATTTTGATGAACTCGTCGCTGGGGCTATAAAGAGAGAATCGAATTGGATGCACAGCACAATGATGGTGCCATTTATTTGGATTGTGAGCAAAATATTTCGGAATAATACGCTGACACCCATAAAAGAACCCATTCGAGGAGGGAAAAAAACCGAACCCATTCGGTCGAACCAAGAGTAACGGTCTTTTGAAACCATCACTGCATTCATCGTTCCAAAGATATTTTTGATGATCGTTTTGAACGATTCGATTTTAAAATTAAATTTTTGTCGTTTTGCCATTCGTTAAAATTCATTTGCATTTTTTTTTCAAGCCTAGAATTTCGAATTCTATTCGGTATTTTTGTTATTTTTGTATGAAATTTCAACTATGCAGTGTCAGTGCAAGAAGGGTCATAATATTTGGTAGTGTGTAGCCGAATGACATGAATATAAACATTCGTTTTGTATTCGAATCTAACGTGTGATGAATTGTAGATTGAAAAATTGTGTTATCTGTCTGTCTGACTTACCTTTCTTCCATTGTGGTCGGCAATTGGGTGCGAGCTCGTAAAAGCATCGGTTTGTGATGCAATACATTGCCATTTGTTGAACTAACGCCTCCGCCCTCTGACATATAACCATTTTCGATATCCGAATATCGAACCGGTACTTTGCGCAATGCATCGCCGTCACTGCAATATCCTTGTGCCATGTCATCATTATAATCGTATGCAATGTGCTGATTCCGATTATTTCCTCGTGTTGGCAATGTTAAATGGCTATTGTAACCGCGAAGCAATGGTCGCATTGGCATAACCGTCATTTGTTTTTCCTCCTCATAAATCACACCGTTTTGAATTTGTTTTGTTGGTACTGTATTAAATTTATTCGCATTCGAATTGTTGGTTGACGATGACATTGCTGTCATCGATGATGATGCGCTCGATGCAATGCTACCATTTGACGATGCTTTCATCATTGAACCATCATGAATACCATATCGTTCACCATTTTTTGTGCGATTGGCCATTATTAATTTATTTGATGGTGATAGAATTTGATTTGGACGCATTGAAATTGCATCCGATGCACTCGATTCCGGACGATAAATGTGATTTGAATCGCATGAATTCGATATGAGACCGCCCGACGTTGATGAGCTATGTGTCGATTTTGAATTGCAACTATCACTCATTGATATGTTTTGTTGATTTAACGCTTGTTGCATTTGGAAATGATTGGCCAGTGTTTGGTGTTGATTGGCAGCATTTTCGATTAAAATCGGTGCAATAATTTGCATTTTTCCACTATCATCCTGATTGCCATTCGATATGTTATTATTTTGATTTGATATGTCGGCCATTTTTTGGTTTTTGATATCATTAAATTGTTGTTCGATGGTTGTTGTTGTTGTTGATTTTTGTGATGCATTCATTTGATTATGTACGTTCGATGATAGTTTTGTTGTGCCTTTGATAGCGGCCATTGGTTTTGGTATGCTTGTATTCGGCACCGTTGGTATATTTGTTGTGACCGATGTTGGTGCCGGCGCTGTTGTTGCCGTTGAACTTGTTTGTGCTTTGACAATTGTTGGCGGTGGAATTTGTGAGCTGTTTGTTGCTCGATTTTGATCCGATGATTTTCGATTCACCGAAATCATTTTCAATTTACTCTCATTTTTACCGGACGAAGACGATGCTTTTTGCGCTTTTGGCATGGCTATTTTACTTTCACTCATGTCAGCCGACACTCGAGCCGGGCTCTTATCTTTCTTTTCCGATTTTTTCGTTAATGTATCTTTGCTGGAACTTTTGCCCGACGATGACGATGACAACAGTTTCGATTTCGTTTTCGATGTTGATGTTTCGGTTTTTTTCACATTTGTTTGCGACGGTTGGCACACTGGTATTCCAGATGATTTTGCATTTGGATCGTTGTTTAAACTTAAACTTGAATCGCTGCGTTCGCTGCGTGCCGATGAAAAACCACTACTTGAACTTGTTCGCTTTGATATTTGCGTTTTTGATGAACGATCTGATTTTTCGCCTTTGAATAACTTTAACTTGTCGAGCATTGAATGTTTGGTCGGTGTGGCTGGCATACCATTCATTACGATGCTACCATTGCCGGCAATGTGATTTTGCACAGCATATGGACTGGCTGGGATTTTGCATACGGATTGCTGTCGCAAACTTGATTTTCATAAATGAACGAGAGAAAAAAACGAGAAAACAATTTTAGAAAGACCGAATGTAATGAAACTCTAAAGTGATATTAAAAAAATGCAATATTTAATTTAATATAAATTAATGGCAATTTACCCGCTGCTACTTTTCGGTATCTGCGTTGGTGGATTTCCATTTTGTTGTATCGAGTTCGTCTCGGCATTTCCGTTTGTTTTGCCATTCGCACCAACTGAAAGTAAATCGACACAAATTAGTATGCTTATTTTATTCCTTTTTAATCAGAGAACTTTATTTCGCTCGATCTCTCTGTCCCACGCTATCTTTTGTTGTTCGCAAAATATGAACATAAACCATATCAATGTTTCAATGAATGCAATAAATTATGAAATGATCAAGTGCCAAACAGAAAGTTTCAATTAAACACAAACCCAAGAACAAAGAAAGAAAACAAAAACCCAAGAAACAAAACTCGAAATGGAATAAATCGAATCTAGACATGTTTGTGCGAATATGATTATTATTGAAATCTATATAGACAAAGTGTCTGTATTTTGCCGAACAAAGATGAAAACTTCAGCTTAACTTTATTTATCAAAACCAATATAACGATGTCTATATCGTGTGTTTGTTAAAACGAGACGGAAAAGTTGAAATCGTCTACTTACTTTGGTGGCTGGGTGTTGGTGGCAGAGGTCGTACTTTATCATTTGGTGGACATCGTCGTTGTACTTGAACGGTTGCTGGTAATGGAATCGATGTGCCATTTATTCCTGGCTTTCCATATGGCGCAGGTAATTGTCTGTGGAAAATATAAATGAAATCATTAATAAACAGAAAAAAATATTGTCATTTATAAATTGTCCGTTGCATTGAGCTCATTTCGATTTTGCACATAAGCAATGCAACTTTATACTCGTATTACATTTTATCTGTGTGACGATTAATCGAATTGTTGGCACAATCATTGACAACCGCTCTCTGCACGAAGTTAAAAAAGAATATTGGGACTATTGAATCGGTTCCAAGTATGTTTCGAACAAGTTTCGATAAAAACTTTGCCCACGCAAAATGTTGTTCGCATTTTAACGAGTCTGTCGTGCATGTTCGGCTCTGCATGAAATTGGATTCGAATTGAAAATGTAGGAGCGCCAATCCACAATACAGAACGAGAGAACATTGTGCATCAGACAAAAGCACTTGTTTTAATTTTACAATTTTCAATAAATTCAAATAATACCATCCGGTGGGCAATAATAACATCGATACGCTTCGCCATAATTATTATGCTATATTGCTTTCCTCACTTCAGTCCATATCGTTGAACTTGAAAATGACATGAAAATCATTGGAGCCAAAATAAGTGAATCTGTAAGTTAAACTAAGCCAGACGTTCAATGGTTCTATGTAATTACCATTCACACAAGTTGTGCAAAATGATACAATGACATCCTCTCTTCTGATGCGTATAACAACACACTGTTCATTTTCATGACTGCTGCACGAAATAGCACACCGTAGATGGTGTCGGTGTGTGTGTGTGTGTATTCAAATTTTATCGGCATTGTCCCCACAACTCAGCACATCCAACGTTGAAATGGTTTATATATCGTGTCTATTGTGCATTTTATTAAACAAAATGATAATTCCCATTTGTATGTTTTAATACATATGCATATAGCAGATTCATTTAGAATGTATTTCAGTTGTACGCCCACGCCAAAGGTGCAGTGTTATTTCGTTGTTTTGCCAACTGTTAAATTTGATTGTATCTCGCATGTATCGTTTATCTCTTGATAAATTGGATGACAACAAGTCACCAATAAATCTACACAAGCCACACACATACATGTTATATGCATACACGCATCAGACACGATTGATGTTGGTGTTTTATTCTCTGTATTCAGTGTTCGCTTGTTTGCTCATTTTTGGCAGAAAATGCATCGAAAAATTATCACCGAAAACATTTGAGCATATTGTCTGATTTTGTTTGCAAATTAATAATCGTAAATGTTAAATATGCACCATGTTCATTTCGGTGTTCGCTACCGGCACCGGAAAACGAAGCTATGTTTCATATTGACCGAAAGAATGAAAACGACCAGCATAAATTCATGTCATTAGTGTTTTATGACACCAACATAACATATAGAGAAAACGATGAATTTTCCCATTTTCCATTTCAACATCATTGTTGCAAATGGAAACATTTCGGTCTACGTGCTTTCGATGTCGACATTTTTGGACAAAAGAAAGCAGATGCAAATTGTTTTCCCTTGAAAACAACTTAAAGAAGAAAAAAAACAACTTTTATGAGAATTATTTAAATTCATTTTTTTCGGAAAGAGTTCTATGGAATTATTTTTTATGGCTGATGTTTCCTATTTTCACTTTTCGAATGGATGAAATTGTGTCTGTTGTGTTGTGTTCATTTCAGAACAGAATGATAATTTTTCGCTACTTAAGAACAACAACGTCAACGGCATTCGGACTTTTCAACATACATGGGCATTTGGGCACGGTCGAAATTTCGAGGGGGGTCCATACGGTTTAGATAGGACGATTTAAGGCGGTTAGGTCGGACGATTGAAAGGGAGTTTTCTTACAGCCTGTGCCCATGTATGCTCTTCTGAGCACGAATACCGCCCATTTTTCATCGATTGAACGGTTCAAATATCTCCAATTCGAACCTGAATGTATTAAAAATAAAAAAAACTTCATTTTCCAAAGAATTTGAATACCTTTTCACTTCCGGCGATGTTGGTAAACTGCGACTCTTTCGACTTTTATGCGATGACGACGAATTACCCATTGCTTATTCACTTTTAGTTTATTTACCGCGCGTTTACTTAACTCAAGTTTTATGAAACTCAAATATGCATAGCATTTTTACTATCGACACATAGTTTTATACAGTTTCTTCAGTAGATTGCCCGATTTGAGACAATCTTGATAACTTTACTTTCAGGAGCAAAAAAAAACGAAAATACTTAATAAATAAAGATTACTCAATATTCGGTGATGGCATACCGTTTTTAACTTTTTTGGTAATTTTTTCGAACGAAACAATTTTTGTTGTGGAATTTACATTTTGCAAGCAGACTCTTGTGAAATGAAAAACCGTCGTCGAATAAATCACATAGAAAATATGTGCATACTAATCCCAAAAGTAACATGGAATTTTCTTAAACCAAGGCCAGACACATTTTATGCGTTGTCTGCTTGTTTCATCGGCCTCATCTATCTTGACGATGATATGTCAAACAAATTTATGAAAATGACTTGAACACTATTTCATCAAGCGAGCATCGGATAAGGCGAAAGAAACATCTGTTTCAATTTATTCTCAGTTTATCAACATCTTTCAGCTCCTTTCAGCTCCGAGAGAGAGAGAGAGAGAGATGTTCTCTTTCAATTATTCGGGTGCTCACCAACATGCATTGACTTTTGAACTGATAGTGTAAATGATATGATGAAGTCGGAGTGCGAATGGAAGTGAACTTTTTGACGTGTCGGTGCATTGAATACCCAATTACGTTTTTTTAAAGAACTGAAACAATCGGGCGAGAATAGAGAGCGATGAAAGGGCAACCAAATCAAATGGAGTTTGACGAAAGAGCATTGACCGAACCGAACATCGTTGCATTGCAGTAGTTTCTTTTTAGTAATGACTAACAACATCCATTTCGAAGCGAGAAAAATGGGATGCAAATGTGCGTAACATAGAACACAAATTAACTGTCTTGCATCATTAAAACTCCAGCACGAAAATAAACAATTTCGTTTCGCTCGTAGAAACAAATGAATCATTCGTATTACGAGCATGAAAGAAAACCATGTTACAATTTGCAAATTATATGTAAAACAAGAGCATGTACCATAGTTTTAATCACCTTTAAAATATGAATCGCTTTTGTTTTCATTTGCTACTTGCGGCTGTTTTTCCTCATTCATAATTAGCTTAAATCGAACGAGAGAAAAAAACACACAAACAGACGTAACAGATTTTCTTTTCCCATAATTTTCAACTTGTTCAAGTTTAAATTGCGCTACGCTGCCAGCATTTTAACTATATTCTCTTTCTTTCAATCTGCCATTTATCCCATTTTTCGATGCGCATTATGTGAATGCATTTGATTTTGGTTAATCTTATGAGCCAATATATGCCAGACACTACACAATTGCAGAACATTTTGTGTGGAGGAAGTTACCGTTTTGTTTAACGATATTTATATATTTTTTCCCTTTTTGTTTCTTTATCGTGTCTTCAATTCGTTTGCGTGTTTTACAAAAAATTAAAATGCACGAAATGGCAAGAGATCTGCCAAGTTGGAAGCAAGACAGCGAAAAACACAAAATTTGTTCAGCAATGGCAAAAGTACAGAGGAAATAAGAGACATAATTGACTATAAGCGTTCGTACGGAACTGAATGTATGCAAAACACGGTTGCTTTACATGATAAAAAAAAAAAAATTCAAAAAACTGGAGACGAGATGAATTCATTTACAATTGTAGACGTCCGACGCACTCAAGAACGATTTTTTTTCCTTTTGTATTTTTCAATTTGTTCTTCTTTAGAAGTTTCGCTTGCTTCTTTTTCTCTTTCAATTTAAATGTAGAATTTTATTTAACAAAAAAATAATAATAATGCAACAAGGTATCATGTGACACAAACAACGAAGATGTGCAACAAGAACTTTCAATTGCGTTGGTGTTTGAACTGTCTGCTTGTTTCCGCAGAAACCGGCCCGAACAATGGCATCACACAACCCATGAGAGACAACGAAAGGTGTGCCGTGCCACGGTTTGGTGCCAAGAGCTATCTTATTGTCATCCAAACAGCATCTGATCAAACAACCACTCAACGTTTTGTTGTTATTTCGTTTTCCAATCATTTGTTTGCTCGTTTTAAACGAACATAATGTCTTCGCATTTAAAGCAAATCTGCGATATGTTCTTATTGTATTATTTCGTAGAACAAAAAACGACCATTTCGTTTATGTTTGTTTCATCTGGAGCGCGTTTATGACCGTTTCGATGTTTGTAAACATCACAAGATTAGCTGAATTTCATATATAATCGTTTCAAAGAAAGTCAATGGCGTCCTTTTATTCTTACAGTATTTATCCCGGTTTCTATCGCATCGTTTGTGGTTAGCAATTCCAACGAAATCGAAATTGTTGGTGGCTCAACATAAATCAAATCTGTCTTTGATAGGCATTATCGCTGTTCGTGTTGGAACTACTTGAAACAAAATTTCATTTTAGAATTCAAAAAGAATTGAACTATGAAAACCGCAATGGCGACGATTGCTTGTGGCTTTATATATCTTCAGATAACTTGTGAGAACTTAATGTTGTGTTTGAACATTGATCAGTTTGCCATATTTCTCACACAAACTGTCGGAAATTTCACTGTAAATACTAATGTTCAAAGTGACGCAGGCAATTTTATAGCCTTGATAGCCTTCGCTTTGATGTTTTTCTAATTATGTGCGTCATTTTACTTTGCAGACGACTTCCATCAAATGCCACTCAAGTGTGTTTGGTGAATGGTTATGATGATGTCACATTTGCGTCAAACTGAAAATCTTCATTTCAATGGGCGAAGTTTGCACATTAAATTAATTGCTTTTCAAAACATACATACACATACACGGATAAAGTCATTGAATAGAATGAATGCGACATCAGCTCAAACCCACTTACTTTAACGAAAAGGAAAAGTTATATAGTTGCTTGTCATCAAATATTAATTGAATTTTAAATCATCATCATTTTCAATGCATCTTGCAGACA